TCAATTTCTCTTCATGTAAGAAATCCTGAGCCTCTCCCATGGAGTACATGTCCTGACCCAGGTCATGGGCTTGCTTTATGATGACAGAATTATAGATAGATAGACACAACATAAAAAGAGAGAGAGAGAAATTGATTTGTCAGGTAGATAGATAAACAGATACGATTTATCAATTGTAAATAGTAATGCCCAGAGGTAATATAAGCCTTTCTTAAATTACAAAACATTACATGGGTTCCTAGCTTTATAATTTGCCAGTGGCTATAAAATCCCCAATACTGTCTATGAAAATATCAAGACAAACACTCTGCGAACTCATTGCAACAATAACATCGAAGCTGAAGCAGCAAGTTGCAAAGCAGACCCTCCACGACAGTTCTATACGCTGCATGAAAACCTATGGTTGTTCTGTGTTGAAGAGTGTAAAGGCATCAGAAGGTCAGGTTTTCAAGAATCAAACTTTCCATTATTCTGTGAATCGGAGATTGTACGTGAGTACAGAGCTTTGCATAAGAATTAGTCCTCGTCCGTGTATAAAGTCAGCTATTTTCAGCTCAGCCTAGCAATCTTCGATTTCTTGGTTTGTAACTATGGCAATAAGATTAAATGGCATTCAGGAAAATTCGTTTTACAGATTAGCTTGGGAGGGTGTCCATGACTGTGAGGAAGGAGCACTGCAAAAAGACTAGGAAACAAGAGGGAAATTAAATCAGGTTTGTAATACTCTTCAAAATAATCCTCAGAATCGTCAAGTGCCATAAGGCAGTTAGCAAGCCATGTACGGTGACTTGAAATAAACATGATCAGATAACTGCTTGATAGATTCCTTGGCTCATCTTAAGCCACCACACCTCTGCACTTGCCTCTGGACCGTCATACAGCATCCTTTGTCTGTGGACGCCTATGTGTCTGTGGGCTTGCCAGAGCCTTTGATCTGGGACTTTTTATACTAAATAACAGTCAAATCAATTTCAAACACCTTCATTACAGTACACAGCTCATTATGTTCCGGAAAAATGTTTAGCTCCAAGCCCCAGGCCACGTTATAATGAGGACAGGAGTGCACACTAGTACACACGCTCTATAGAGTGTCTCCATATTTCTAGGCGATACACAATCAGCACGGGTCTAAGTGAAAAGCAGACATTCATTTGCAGCCTTTAAAGATGGTTTCCTAAAGTTTTAAACCATTTGCCATAAAACATAGTTTTAAACTTGCAATGCTGTTAATGCTTTTCCTTTCTGTTGGCAGCCTTTTAAAAATGTGCATAGGTAGACATGGAAAGGAAAAAGCCAGATAAATATGTATTCAAATCCATAATGAGTGACGTATAAATTTTTTATATTATATATACACACTTTATATATTTTATACATATATAAGTACACATACCTGAGTATATGCATATTTTATAAATATATAAAATATATAAAGTAATTATCTTAAATCTATTTTTAAAGATTATACACATATAGACATACTCAACATCATATATACAGACAACTTCTTTTCTAAAAAAAAAAACAGATTTAAGAGATTTACTTTATTTGAAAAAATCTGAGGGTAGCTTTCCATCTTATCCAGGTTGGTTTGCAAAGAAACTCCAGTGCCTTGTTAAGCTAATAGATGTATTTATGTTTTCCCTTCCTACTTTGGGAATGCAGGAACATGGACATAAACCCTCGTGGCCTCATTTCTGCTCTCTAATCGCTGTGCTTTTTCAATGCCTAAATGACCATCCATGAAATTTCTGACATTACACTTGAAATAAATGTGACACAATCTTGGCTGTCAGTGGTTTTTTCCACTCTGATTTAATTATAAATTCTCACTAAAAGCCAGTAATGGGGAAATTACTTCACTGGACACACAAGACATCATCAAAATTACTTGTGTCCCTCTGCTGTTGGAAATATAAGTTAGCGTGGTAGAAATTCTTTTTGCTGTCATGATTGATTATCATAAATTAATTGCGTCTAACTCTAGATGGAAACAAATGCATACGGGTGTATAAATAATCATAACTTGTTCTCTTGCCAGCAAGCCATAGTCTGCTCGGTAGCAGAGAAAACACGAGTGCGGCAGAGGAACTGCAATGCTTTTTTTAAACAAAAGGATTGTAACAAAGATAAAACAGATTTTTATGCAGCATAAGCAAGTGATAACAGTTTTCATGTTAACCTTGAAACCCTACTGGAGAAAAGGATTCAGCGGTATTTTCAGTTAGCCATGAATATCTTAAAGAAGAACACAGTCCTTATGTAAAAGAAGTGTTTGGATCACTTCTTTTGATAATGTAGTGGTAAGACAGCCAAGGTCTGGCACAGGGGGGCCAGATTAGTCAAAGCAGGATATTGTCTGCATAATCCAGGGTCAGCAAATGGAGAGGAAACAAGCCAAAGGGAAACATGAAATCAAGCCTCGTCCTTCAACACCTGTCATCAGAAGCCTTGGTTTCAAGTTGCAGGGGAGACAGGATCCTAGAGAATGAGAAAGCTCACTTCTCATTAAGGGTGCTCCAGTGGGTCTATGCAGATTAGCTAGACCCACAGCGTATTCGCAAATGTTGAAATTAAAGACAAAACGCCAACTAATGTCTAAAACAGGAAAAAATCAGTTCACAAACCATCCTTTACATGAAGGAAACACAATAAATAAATCTAGATTTATGGACAGAATATTCTGTCTTAAAAACAGGTTTACCCTATTAGCCTTATATACCATGTTTGTAAGTAAGGGTTTGCATGTGGAATAACATTAGAGTCACTAAAATTCATTCCATTACGCACATTTTCAGGTCAAGTATAAGTAAAAGATACATATATTTCAATTCCAAAGACTACATGTTAGTCTGTTTACAGTAGCTGTTTTATATGTTGACCTAAATGTTTCTACAAAGAATCGAATTGCTAGGGATGAGGATGAAATAAATGATACCTCTTGAAATGCAAACATGAACCTGTTTTTAAAGAAGGAAGTAATGATCTGTAATCAAGGTACAAATCATTAAATAGCGAAACACTGAAGAAACGTGAGTTTTAAAAGCAAAGGAACAGTAGTACCTTAGAACATACAAGCACAGAAAGCTAAATACCAAAATATTCTCCTGTAATTATTGAAGATTATTATAAATCAAATAAGAAATGAGTATTCCTGCTTCATAGCTGGTAGCACCGGCTCATCAGACAACAGAAATGTTTGTCGTTTGGGAAGAGAAAAGAGACTTCCTAAATAAATGTCAAGATGAA